TGCAAACATTTTTGTTTGAGATTTTTTGTCATATTCATGTAAACGTTGTTTCATGCTCCTAATGGTATCCTTAAGTAGCACTGGACATAGTGGTTTAGCATAACACCACTGATGAGACTTTAACGGGCCGAAAAAGCGCAGTATGGTGTTGGATTTAGTTGCCTTGTAGTGAGAGACAGAAGACCAATCTCGTTTGGCGGTCGGTGACAAAGCCTGGATTTGCAACAGATCGCCTCAAGAAGCTTTGTTAAGCGTGGATTGAGACTTCTGTCGATCCCATAGATGGTGTTTTCGAATACTTTCAGTCTTGTCCTTTTTAGGACAGTTGAGCAGTTTAGCCAAGCACCACTGATGAGAACTTGGTAGGTCAAAACAATACTGCCTGGTGTTGTTTCATCACACAATGACTTGAACGGACTTTAAAATTGATCGCTGAAGCCAATGAGATCAATTTCATACAGTTCTGCCAATCTTTTGACACCTAGTTAGCGACAACTGAATAATTCATGGTTTAGCGAGAATTATCTTGATTTTTTTTAGTACTGATGTTCATCGCAATTAAATTTGTCTCATGAGGAAACAAAATGTTTCCGTCAGTGATTTTTCAGTGGATATTTCTGTTGTGGGTAAGAAAACAGGCATGTTCTTATTCTATGTTTTGTACCTTGTTGTTGTATCGTAATTCACCACTGAAACATGTGCTCTTATGATTGCTTTCGTTTTGTTCCTGAACTGATTTTGAAATCAAGGTTCACGATAGTCTTGTTGCCGGAGGGGTTAGCGGAGATTTATTTTGTACTTGATTTCAAATATATACCGTGTTTCTCATGGCAGTGAATATAATTCTTCACAACTACAAGTGATAAATTCCACTATATAATTTTTCTTCAATCAAACTGCTATCAATTGAAATATCTTCTTCTGGTGAAATATTGATAGTGATAGCCCAAACGAAGTAAATTATACAGATATATATCATTTTCAGCGGCATGCCATTCATAAATAACACGTTCACATATTTCCTCCACGTATCTATGAGTACAAAACACAAAACAAGTTTGAAAAATGCAATGAAATAAAAAGGCACGAAAACGCAATTATCTAAACAGCCATCTTTTTGACAAACATTTCTCCATTAATGTTCTTAGTAAGTAGGTCTAAGCGAATTCTCATGTTTTCAGATGCGCTGATATGTTTTTGACGTAAATGAAAACGTTTCTCTTGAAGAATATTTGCCCCAGTTAATACAGCAGTTACGTTTTTTCAAAAGTATCATGATCAAGTACTTTTGTTTATGGTTTTCTTTCACGACAAAACATTTATGTATTTATTTTTTATCGTTATTGCATTTAACATCTTGAGTTATGTTGATGAAAATTCAATTGAAAGTTAGGATGGGTATTACATTAATATACGTAAAATGCTGGTTCACAAAAATAAACATGTAGAATGTGAGGATGTAGTATATTATTTAATTTATATCAACTGGGTTCGATGTATACTATTGAATTGATACACTATATTAATTATTTTAGATAATGAATGGTAGTGAAAATGAATTATACCTACCTATTCATTGAATATCGTTATCATTATTATCCAAAGTGTGTCCCACAAATTTTACTGAATAAATGAATACATAGTTTGGCGAAATTATCTTACTGCTATGAACATATGGTTTTAGCAAAACTATTATAACTCATCATCAATATAATAATAGGCGAAATTATGGCATAATTTCAATTTTTTCGAGAATAAGCGACTTTGGGTACAAATCTCGAAATAGGTCTATTTTGTTTTTGAATTATGATTTTTTAGCGTATACTGATGGGCTAAAAAGTTCATTGATTAACACACAGATGGCTCTACTAGTATTGTATCCGTATTATTTTAACCCTAACCTTCAAAATACACGTGTACAAATTTCACAGCTGTCGGACTGTTAGTTTGTGGGATAGAACCCAGTGAAGCAACTTTTGTTAGTTTGACAATAATAAATAGAAAATACTGTTAAAGCCATCACATATTATTGTAAATAACGTTATATAAACATTATTCAGACTTCACACTAGGAAAATCAACCATTGAGAAGTGTTTAAACATGATGAAATGAGCACCGAGGACGATGCAGGCAGTGGACACCTCAAAGCAACTGTTACCGACGAAAATATAAAAAAAGTTCACAAAATAATTTTGAATGATCCCAAAGTGAAGTTGATCGAGATAGCTGACGTTCTGAAAATATCCAAGAAACCTGTTGGACATATTAACCCTAATCTTCAAAATACACGTTTACAAATTTCACAGTTATAGGATTATTAGTTTGTGGGATAGAACCTTTGGAGTGAAACAACTTTTGTTAGTAGATAATAGAAAATCATTTCGTGTGTTAATGAAGTACCTATTGCTTTTTGGTGGAAAAATACTGTTAAAGTCATCATATATTATTATATATATAACGTTATATAAACATTATTCGGACTTTACACTAGGAAAATCAACCATTGAGAAGTGCTTTACTGAGTTTAAACAAGTGGAAGCAGTGAAAACCCAAAGAAGCTGTTACCGACGAAAACATTAAAAAAGTCCACAAAAAAATTTTTAATGAGTACAAAGCGAAGTTGATCGAGATAGCTGGCGCTCTGATGATATCGAAAGAATGTGTTGGACATATCGTGCATGAATATTTGAGTATGCAAAAGCTCTGTTCAAAGAGGCTGCCGCGCGAGCTCTCAATCGACCAAAAATAACAACGAATTGATGATTCTGAGCAGAATTAACCAACTCCAAAGCGTTTAAAGACGCAACATTCGGTTGTCAGAGTTATTATATCAGTATTTTGGAATGTGCATGGTATAATATTCATCGACTATCTTGAAAACGGAAAAATCATTAACAGCGACTATCTGTATCTGTAGAATAGGGAGGGTGAGGGTAGGCCCACAGCACTTAGACCACATGTGACCCATTGTACATCCTCCCGAGGAGTTGTCCTTCTAGGTCATCGTCCATCCTGTCCTTTCCAGGAAGGTGGACAAGTCTCTGGGAGACATCTCCTTTATATCGGCAGGTGAAGGCCAAGACTCACCGAACACACACTTTCTTATTGACATTCGCATAGGACATGCCTGACAGTTTTATCTTACTGTTCACACATCCTACATAGAGGTGTGTCCACTAGCCCCATGATATGGAGGTGTTTCCTTAGTTGACAGTGGCCAGTCAGAAATGCTACTGTTAAGCGTAGATTTTTCCTGGTCATCGCCAGATATTTCTTTGGTGCCAGCTTCCCAGGGTCGCCCAGGGTGATCCTGGCAAGATTGCATCCCTTGCATTCGCCACTCAATCCTCAGACTAGTCTAAGACTAGTCTGTATATATGCGTATTGCATTTGTATCACCTGACTCAGCGTTCTGTTTAATTTGTATTTTGTAGGGTTTATTAAACTCAAACCTGAGTTCAATTGCATCACTGGTTGCCTGCAGCAGAGTTTGCGCAGTAAGCGCTTCTCGCCTCAATTGACCCATTCCTACTTCGAGGTTTACACCAGCTGTGCGCAATCGTAACATGGCCATTAACGCAACCTCCTTAACGTACAGGTCCAGAGGGATCAGACCAAAAAGCGACTATTACATAGCGTTATTGGAGCGTTTGAAGGATGAAATCGCGAAAAAACGACCCGATTTGAATCAAGAATGTGTTATTTTATCAAAACAATGCTCCGTGTCACAAATAAATGAAAACGATGGCAAAATTGCTTGAATTGGGCTTCGTATTGCTTCCGCACTCACCGCATTCTCCAAATCTGCCTCCCAGCAACTTTTTCCTGTTCTCAGATTTTAAGAGAATGCTCGCCGGAAGAAAAATCAAGAGCCGAAGTAATCGTCTAAAATGGGACCAATTTTGAGGCCACTATGGCCAAACGCAACTATGTATATTGAATAATACAATAAAATTTTATCGAAACGTTTTTTTTTATGTGAGCCACGCCAGAAAAGGAATTTCTGGCAAAAACATAACAATCTGTACTGATAGCAGACAAGCCCTATTAGCCTTGAACAGACAACGTGTTACCTCAGGCCTAGATTTAGCCTCTGTAGATAATAACACTATCTAGAGGTGGATTAAAGAGCACGACAGGAGCAAAGGTAATCGCTTTGCCGACTCTATAGCCAAGGAAGTGGCTGGACTAATTTTAGGACCCAGTGGCATCCTTGGCGACCCTGGGAAGTTGGCGCCGTAGAAATATCAGGAAAAATCTACGCTTAACAGTAGAATTTCTGACTGGCCACTGTCAACTTAGGAAACACCTCCACAATATGGGGACACACCTCTATGCAGGATGTGTGAACAGGACGATGAAACTGTCAGGCATGTCCTATGCGAGTGTCCGGAGTTATCGTCAATAAGAGAGTGTGTGTTCGGCGAGTCTTGGCCTACACCTGCCGATATAAAGAAGATGTCTCCCAGTGACCTTCCTGGAAAGAACAGGATGGGCGATGACCTAGGAGGACAACTCCTCGGGTGGATGTACAATGGGTCACATGTGGCGTAAGTGCTGTGGGCCTACACTCACCCTCCCTACTCTATAGATACAGATACAGAATCATTGAAATAACCTATTACACGGCTCATATTTTTATTTGAAAATATAATCGATGACGTCACGCCCAGATTTCAAAAATTTCAAAAATTGTATATTCTCTAAAAAATGAATGTTTTATACCACTTTCAGTTGTAACTAACGTTACTGCAGTCTCAAAATGCGTACGGTTGACTTGCTTTTTTGTGTATAAAATTATTGAAAACTTCATCAAATCTCACGCATTCTTGGGAAATCTCATAATATTTCACACTGCATTGATTTACACATCTATTAAACTTGTAGCTGTTGAACATTCAATGTTTATATTATGGGAAATATTGTGTTGAATTTGAAATGTTTATTCATAACTGTTCATCAACTTTGCTATCAACAAGTCATATTTACATATACGTACCTAGTTTTCCTAGTGAAATCCCAAATTTGTGAATGAGGGACCTCCACTTCCAGAATACTGAGGAAACTGCAACAAAAATTAAAATTATTCAAATAATCAATACAGCATTAAACTGCTAAAGTTCCACAAAAAATGTTTAGTAAAAACGTAATAAATATTCAGATCTCACTGATCCCTTCAACTCTTTTCAACATCAGTTATTGGATCTTACGCCTTTTGGTAATGATGGTTAGGGCAGAGTAAACAGAAGAAGGAATGAACGTTTTATTTCCTGCTGCTTATCTTCAAGGGTCCCATTTAGAGGTGGATCATTAATAGGGTGAAATGTACTCAATGATCGAACAGACCTTTAGTCATCCATAACGGATCCCTAATGGAAGCAGGAGGGCACAATTTCATTTTTATGTACGGCGGGGTCCGTCCACACGCCGCAGGAATCGTGCGTCAGTACCTACAAGCCCACAATATCACCACTTTGGGGTAGCCCACTTGCAACCTGGACCTGAATCCCATCAAACATGTCTGGGATCAACTGGAGAGAAGCATCTGAAGCCATCAAAACCAACCCACCACTTTGAATGAGCTGGAAATCGCTCTTCGAGAAGAGTGAGTGTATTCGCCTTCTTTTACTTTTTATTTCAATAATTTAAGGGTATTCATTTTGAATTTGGTAGTTCTTTCATTTTCCCGCGTATACCCTGTACATAACAAAAAATCATTCAATAATCACAGGTCTGCAATGAAAAAATTTTAGGATATTCAACTAGTGATTTCAACAGTATTTTGCGTGCAGATTACGGAAAAAATAGTGAAAAAAATCTATCACCTATAGATAAGTCACAAATTTCACTTGAACGATTCAGTACGAGATCTGGGCCTCCCAAAGGACTCAGCAAAAGTTTTAGGATCTAGATTTAAAAAAAGACATATGTTAGCCTTCGGTGTTTCATTTTCATGGTACCGATTTAGAGAAAGGGAATTTGTCCCTTTTTTACACAAGAGGATGACCTAGTTTTCTGCAACAATGTACCCGGCGTCATGAAAATGTTCAACATAACGTATGAACCAGAAAAATGGAGACTTTTCATCGATTCATCAAAAAGAAGTTTGAAAGCTGTACTTTTTCACAATGGGAACCAATATGCTTCTGTCCCTGTTGGACACTCAGTACATTTGAAAGAATGCTACGAAAATCTAGAATTTGTTCTAAATAAGCTCAGTTACTCTGATCATAAGTGGACCATTTGTGGAGACTTGAAAGTTATTTCAATATTACTAGGTCAACAAAGTGGTTCCACTAAGTTTCCATGTTTCCTATGTTCTATCCGATGCTAAACTAAAAGAAGGAGTCTTCGTTGGGCCTGACATGAGAAAACTTTTAAAAGATGAAAGCTTTGTCACTAAAATGGAAATGAAAGAAAAAAATGCCTGAAATTCATTTAAACTTGTTATAACAGGATTTCTTGTAAACAAAAAAGACCCAAACTACAAAACTTTGCTTGCTGAATTGATACAAAACTACAAAATGTGGGCTGCAACATGAGGGTCACAGTCCATTTCCTTCACTCACATCTGGACTACTTTCCCGAAAATTCAGGGGCTGTAAGTGAGGAACAAGGAGAACGGTTCCATCAAGACATAAAAGAAATGGAACGCAGATACCAAGGTCGGTGGAATGTTAACATGATGGCAGACTACTGTTGGATGTTGAAAAGGGAAAATTCACAAGAACCCAGCCGAAAAAGTACCAAAAGAAGCTTTGACAGAAAAAGAAAACGTTTTTACAAAGACTTATAATCACTTTGCAAACACTTGTGTATCACTATTATGCTGAGCTCAGCTATGAAGCATTGTTTATTTTTGCTTTTACTTCATGTTAAAATAATAAAAATAAATCCACAATTCCTCGTTTTTTTGTACTTTTTCAATTATTTCATCCTTATTTTGTAGGAAAACCTTACGTGATAGATAAAAACAAATGTCATTTTTGAAATCAGCGCAGAAAACTACATAAAGCTCAGTTAACGAAATCAAAACAATTTTTTTTAAAGTTTTTTTTGCAGACCTGTGACTTGTGTAGTTTGCCATGAATTTGGAAGCCATTTGCAATGCCTTTCAAAATAATATAACATAAGTTTTTCACTGTTGAAAAATTACAAGCCCATAAAGAAGTCATACTTCAATTGTTTTGAGGAGTTCATCATCAAAACTGGTCTGGGAATACAGTTTATGACTGGTCGTGACGAATAGATTTATTCTACAGTGGGTGACAATCTAATGAGTGTGCCAGACACGGATCATCAAATCTGAATGAAGGTCCTAAGACAACTGAGGGAGAACGAGAATATTTAGTACTGGACTAGATCTGAAATCAATCTGAGAACGCACACAGGAAAATCTTATTCAAGGGACTGCCCGAAAAAAACACCTGAAGCACTGGTTCAATACCGCAGGGACTGGTTTAGAATAATCACAGGGCTATCCACTGGCAACTTCATTGAGAGATGACACTTGAGCAAATTAGAACTCCATAATACTTGTCTTTGGAGTATGTAATGCAACAAAGGTATCGAGACAGATCATCATCTTTCATGCCAATGTGGGGCACAGGTTTATAGTATTATCCGGTCAACTTAGTCATCCGGGGGTACAAAAAAATCATTATGCACCCAGCTCAAAATTGGTAGAATTGTTAAAAACACTATTCTCTATGAAATCAAAGAAATCTTCATCGATCCGATACCTGGAAAAAAATTTACTCGGGGATAAAGGTTACAAAACGGGTTATTCGCAATTTTCAGCAAAACGGTAAGTTTTATCATGAAATTAGTTCAGAGAAAAATTTTAGGTCTTATGATTATCAATAAAAATGTCAAAATATTTTTTTTTCTAGCCCTGCGTGGCTAGGGAGTATCTTAGAATATCCAACAGAAACAATAGTATTAGTCTTGAGCACCATTCCGGAGTTTTTCAACTTGATAAAACTCAACATCACTCGGAAATATAGTCTTCTAAAAGTTCACCTACTTTTGCAAAGTGTCAAAATCATGTACCATTTTTACACGTAATAACTGGCTATGATACGATATCTGCAATTTTCAGAAGAAGTAAAACAACAGTTTTAAAATTTTTGAAAAACAAAATTCAGTTCAATGTGCTGAAGATTTTTATAAGAGTAATTCAACTTCACAAGAAGTTATCACCAACGGAATTCGCTTTCTTCTCTCTACGCAAGAGTATGGAGCTCCTGAAAAAACTACGCGCTTATATAAATTTCGATATGCATGTTTCGTTAAAAATACTCGAAATACTCAGCTAGATTCAAAAGACTGCGGTTGGAAGTTGGTCGAAAATACATCAGAACCAGTTTAGACTTTACTCCCCACTGCGCCGGAAAAACTGCCGAACACTAGTTTTTGCAACTGTAAAAAGAGATGTAGTACTAAATGTGGTTGCAAAAAAGTTGGACTGTTTTGTTCTCTGGCATGTACAAAATGTCAGGGTCAGTCGGGCTCCAATTCCGAATTAGCAACAGTTGAGGATTCGTTTGATAGCAACGAGGAGACTTGCGATATATCACTATTGAAGCAGTTTACTCGCACCACAGGATGAAGAAGAACAACATGAAGAAGAACAAGAAGAAGGAAAAGCAGAAGTATCAGAGAATTAGGAATTAGACGACCAAATCTCCCTATTTTTTTAATTTACATCGCTTTTATCGTTCTCAACTCTTGTAAATATCTTTTATCATTCAATAGTTTCAAATCAAACAGAATCACAACAGATCCGTGGAATAGGCCCACCGGGAAAATACGTTAATAAAAACGCGCTGAGTACACTACTCCGTTAATCAGCTGTCGCACCCATTCAAACGAAAACTCTCAGAAGTTGAGTAACTTGTGCGAGCTAAGGACTAACGAGGTCTTACCTTTTAACGTGTGATTCCTAACACGGTTGCAGAATCATCCCAGCTTCAACCAGCTAAATTCTCTCGAGAAAAATATCTGGTCGGGGCGGGAATCGAACCCACGGTCTTATGCTCGTGAGTCGGGCGCACTACCACCGCGGCCAATTCCACAATTTGAATCATTATATCTCAAAAATGGTCGCTCTTAAAAAAAAAAAGAGATCTAAGAGCATCCAATGCATCCCGAAAAAGTCACTGTGTGGTATGGATTTTCGGCTGGCGGCGTCACCTATCCATATTTCTTTGAGAACAGGCCAGGCCACTATCAACAGCAAGCCCTATAGGTCGAAGATTACCAACGTCTTCTGGCCTAAACTGGATGATCTGGACACCAACAACATGTGGTTTCAACAGGATGTCGCTCATGCCACAGTTTATGACACATTGGATATTCTGCACGAGCGATTTGAGGGCATGATTGATTATCTCACGTGGAGGTGATGTGACCGTGCGATTTGACCTCGTTAGACTTTTTCTTGAGGAGTTTTTTTAGACGCCGGTGTATGCGAACAAGTCATAAAACACAGCGGTCCTCGAAGCTAACATCGGTCAAATTCATCCTGTTCATGCGCCAAGAATCATGGAAAATTGGACATTTCGCATGCGCTCTATTCAGAGAAGCCGGGGCGAACATTTGAACGATGTTATATTCCACACATTGGCATCAATAGTTCTTTCAAACGAATGAAAAATTTCGATATATCACACACACTTTGTTTTATTTGAATTTAAAGATAGGAAGCACTTAATGAAAGGACCTATAATAAGTTTACTCTCACTTTATATCTGTATACCGGCATGGGATATTGAATGCATTTTATGGTACATGGGCATGAAGTATAGTCGAATTAAAACGATATTGTGCACACATAAAGTTGGCGGCACTATCAAAGGCAAAAAAACCAATACATACAAATGAACCGGCAGCGAACTAGTCCTCGTGGACTGTGGACTTGGCGGTTCATATTGGATAATTTTTACCAACCGAGTTTTATGATTGGCTGAAGAGTCATGAAATTAAATTTGAAGTCATGTTACGGTGGAATCGTGAAATGTGGGGATGGTTATCGCCGTCGTGTTCAGTTCAGGAACTGA